AGTTCAAATCCTAGTTCAGTCACAAAGAGCTGACTGACATTGAGGAAGTCTTTGGGTTCACTGAGCTTCAGTTAATTCATCCTTAGACACATGATGTTTATAACTCAAAAATTCACCATAATATTTAAAAAAAGATTCCATGGATAAAAATGTCTGCTATAAAGACATGACACATAACAAGTACTAAAATAATGTTGATTTCTTTTATTTCTTAAATATGTTATGAAGAACTCTACCCCCACTCCCCCGCAAAAAAAGCCATAAAACAAATGTTAATGGAGTAAAAATTCTACTACAACATTACAAAATCACAAAAAATAGTTTCTAAAAGATTGAGTCAAAAATTTCATGCAGGTAAGTGGTAATTAGTCCTGAGACAAGTAAGAAGTAGTAGTCCACCATTTCAACTTCCCTTTGAAACTTTTAGCATTTTGATTACTTGAATTATTTCCTGCTCAGTCATCATTCTTAACTCCAAAATATTTTAGGTACTCCGACAAACATAAAAGCTAGGGTAGGTAAACCCACCTAAATAGTTTATACTCCTTCAGATTAAAAAACTAGATAAAACACTAGACAAGCATTTATGAAACTTTATGTATCACCAATTGTGATGTCGGTACTGGTCTGTTTTTATCTAGCTTTACCACTAAACCACTGTTTAAAAAGAAGGAAAAGGACATGTATTTAGTGAAATGTGAAAACAGCAATGAATTAAAATACTAAAAACTAAAATCAATACCACAGAAGATTCAAGATCAGCACCTTAATGTAACTATTTACACCAAACATGGATTTTTGGTATTTTTGTGTTGGCAATAAAGCATATTGTCCTTCCATTTAAATATCTTTAATATATTACGTAAGGATATGCCACGATGAAAGAAATAATTTTCAGGTTGGCAAAAAACTGCTGCAGGGCCGGCCCCGTGTCGCGCTTGGGAGAGTGCGGCGCTGGGAGCGCAGCAACGGTCCCGCAGCGGGTTCGGATCCTATACAGGAATGGCCGGTGCGCTCACTGGCTGAGCACGGTGCGGGTGACACCACACCAAGGGTTGCGATCCCCTTACCGGTCATGAAAAAGACTAAAAAAAAAAAAAACGACCGCTGCAGTGAAAGGTGACAAAATTCACCTCTCTCCACAGGTCTCAACTTAGGGACCATTCCTTTGCTCTCTTTCCCACTCCCTTTTGTTGTCCTGATTCCTGGATTATAGGATTTATACTGGAAATGATAAACAGTGAAAACCAAGAAAGATGAGATAAGAATTGGTAGCAACTGACCAGAATTAACCAAAATATGGGTTTAAGGAATTAACTGACTTGGCAAATGAAAATTTTATACTCTGTTGCTCAGAACAAAATTTTTCTTATGAATAATTTTGATCGTAGAGCATATTATCACATATCTGACTTAAAAGATATTGTTTGGATTATTTTAAAATAGATCTTAAAAACGAACCTCAATTGGTTCTTCGCCACCTTTCACTTGATTTTCACCCATTTCTCCATTCTCATAGTTGCTGCTCTTTTCAACCCATAGCTCAGACTTTTCTACAGTCAGTCGTAGCTGGTCAAGATCTGCCTTGATTTGCTTGTAGTTATCTACATCTTGATTGGATACCAATAATTGGACCTGAAAGAAGAATTTCAACACTTAATTTATTTATGGAACATCCTTCATTCCTATTTCCTTTATATCTAAAATCCCAAGTCATTAAATATATTTATCTTAGTTGAAATTCAATATTTCCAGAACATTAATGAGTATTTTAGATGTATATTGACAACGAAAATTTAACTGGAAGTGTTTGTGAAATCTAACCAAGTATATTCACATGCTATAAACGATTTTTTAGGTCCTAGGCAGGAGCTGTGGGCATCCCTCACTGCCCAGCAGAAGGTAGTAGCACACCCAGGTCCTAGGCGGGAGCCATGGACATCCTCCATCCCCCCTCCCACCTGATAGAAGGCAGGAGCATGCCAAAACACAAGGGGAGTCACTAGCAGAGACCAGAAAAAGAAGAGGAAGTCTCTCTCCTCAAAACACACTCCAGAGTAATAGAAGAAGCAACTGACCTATCAGATGACCAGACATCAATGCAGAGATACTAGAGATACAAAAAAAAAAACAAGAAAATATGACACCACCAAAGGAATACAGTAATTCTCAAGTACCAGACCCTAGAGAGCAAGAAACCCTTGAAATGACTGCAAAGGAATTCTAAGCAACTATCTTAAGGAAATTCAATGAGATGCAAGATGACGCAGTTAAACATCATAATGGAAGGAGATAAAATATCCAAAACTCAAAGGAGGAAATTTACAAAGAGATTAATACCTTAAAAAAGAATGTAGCAGAATTCCTGGAA